ACTCCCGCAGTTACCTGAGTGGCCCCCTACTGAGGGGCCCTGGTTATTTAAGGGGTCCCTGGTTACTTGAGAGGCCCCTAGTTATCAGAGGGTCCCCTGGTCACCTGGTGGGCCCCTGATCAATTGAAAACCCCTGTTCATCTGAGAGGTCCCTGATTACCTAAAGGGCCCATGATCACTTTAATTCAGTGGCATAGCCAGGGAGCGAGGGGTTGCGTGCCCGTTCTCGGGTTTAGGGTTCCTTCGAACCCGAGGGGACCTGCGGCGCCAATTGATTGCAGAGGGTCCGCTCTGGCCACGCTTCAACTTGCAAGGACACCACAGGTATTGTATTGTGAGGCAACGTATGGGCTGCTATGTAGCCACACTTATCTTGTCTCCATACAGCCCAATGCCGTTTTCTGAGAGACCTTGCCGGCCTCTGAGGGCCCTAGTAACAGCCAATGAGGGACCACCTGCAATGGCTCCACACCCGTCTGTGATAGCCCCACGGCCCACAGCCCATCGGCGACTCCGAGAGTCCCCACACCGGCGCCTCTGAGGGCCACGTACCAGTGACTCTGAGGGCCTCTTACCAGCCTCTGAGTGTCCTTGCCAACCTATGAAGGGCCTTTTTCCACTTTAAGGCCACTTTGCAGGATCACACACATGCCAATGAGGGCCCCACCAGTGTCTCTAAGCCCCAAGACCCCGCAACGGCGCCTGTGAGGACCCAACACCAGCGCATCTGACGGCTTTTCACCGGCACCTCTGAGCGCGCCACACACCGGTGACTCTGAGTAGCTCGCTCGCTTCGCTCGCTCGTAAAATACCATGCACATTAACCCGCGCACCGACGGGGCTCTGCGCCAACTTCGCACCGACGGGGGGGGGGGGCGGATGACCGCCCCCCCCTGAGATCTCGAGAACGAAGCAAGATAGCGACAAGTGGTAAACGGCATCGGATACGCACGGCCAAGATCTACAATTTTTACTAAGGTCATTTTCAGGTCAGGTCAAAGATGACGTCACAGGGGTCGAAAAAGTCAAAATGGCGGCGCTAGATATGGAGAGAGTTTTTCTCGAATAACTTTCGAATTAGTCAAGATAGGAACAAACTAAGGGCATCATCGTGATCCTCTCGTCAATCCGCATCGAATGATATATATGTTGACCTCGAAAGGTCAAGGTCAAAGGTTGACCTCAGGTCACGTGACCTCGAGGTCATCATGTATATCATTCGATGCGTCTTGACGAGCTGAACACAATGAGACCATCCACGCGTCTGTATCTTGTTCCTGTACGGAGTTATTGGCCAAAAACCTTTGGTGACCTTTGATGACGTCACATGACCTCACAGCTGCCCAACAGCAAAACAGACCTCTAGGTAGTGAAGGTTGATCGTATATGAAGTCATGTATGGTATATGGGGCCATTCCGACCCGTTTTAGTGGTAAAAACAGGGAGTTGATTTTTCCCCCATTGACTTATAATGGGGAGGTCGCGAAATTGACCTGACCTTAGGTCACCGATATCGAAATTCCGAGATATACAAATTGTAGCTACTAATGACCTAATAATATCCTGCGACTTTCAAAGGCCTCCGACATCTACTGTAGCTCTGGCACGGTGACAAAGTTGCAAAAAAGTGACTTGAGGTTGGGTCATTCAAAGCGACCTGGTGACCTGACCTTAATAGGTAGGAGGTTCAAACTTGCACACCATGTGTAAAATTGATGAGGTTATAGTCATACCAAATTTCGCGGCGCTACGCGCCGCGGTTTTCCCGCTATTCGCGAAAAACCTCAGGGGGGGGGGCGGATATCCGCCCCCCCCGTCGGTGCGCGGGTTAAAGGCACACTCCTTGAGCATAAATGATATTTTTGCTTGCCAATTTTCCACATTTTCTCAGGGCAAAGACCGTTTTAAATAGGCCCGGCTGCGAGTGGGACCGGACCCACCGTGCCGGCGCCCCCCCCCCTCCCCTCCCAATCGAAAGGTCCTGGATACGTCCCTGTCTGGGCTGACCCAGGGTCCCCGGGTGACTCGCGGGTCCCTTCAAGAGCAGTTGACCCCCTCTTGGGCGAGATCCTGGGTACTCATGTCTCACTTACATCGTACATAGTCCTGTTGATTTGATTCATCGGTTAAACATTGATTATAAGTTATAAGCTCGATCTCTGGTCTGTGATCTTGCATCGTATCAGATATACCTATTGACGTTTCATGTCGATATGCCTAAAAAGATATGCGAATATACGTGAAAAAGGAGTGCTTCTTCCGCTCCTACACATCCGGGCCAAACAGTGACCGGCCCCTGCTTCTAGCCACCCCGGGCCGGTCGGCCGGCCGGCAGTTAGTCACTACCCGGGGTTGATTTCTGAGGGACTTGCAAAAATGCATATTAATTGAATGTTTTACGTAATAACTTAGATGATTGGGTATATGTACCGACTTTGAGTCGCATTTGAATAAAACATGCCAGCGTCAAAAATATTGTTTTGAAAATTAAGCTGGTACCGAAATGATTGCTTTACATGCATTGACAAAAAAGCTCAAGCTTCAAGCCAACCGAAATATAACCCCATAGTCCGTATTTTTTTGGGGGGAGGCCTTCGGCATGGGGGGGGGGCAGTTCGCAGGTCGTGCCCCTCCCATTGAAAAATCCTGTGTGCGCGCCTGGCAGGTTGCAAAGAAAACGCAGCACTTTCTGAGATGAAACACAATGTCAGGTGAAGCGCAATTAAATGGTCTTCAAAATGAGAGCTCAGTTCTGTCGAGCCTAACTCGAGATATAAGCCATGACGTGCTAGAATAACGAAATCGCCTACTGTGCATCGTGTTCCTGAGCTCAAACTGCATCCGATAGCCTTTTTTTGTTGAAAAATTTAACTTTAAAATTTGACCTCTTTTGACCTGAAAGTGGCCTGACGTAAGCTAAATTCAACTCAAAATGACCTCGAATGACATAAACAACATCGAATTCGAAACCTATGACCTAAATGGATCATAAAGCATGTGTCACGTGACCGATGCATGATATAACATTTCCGTGACCTGTGATGACCTGACCCAGACCTGAAAATCAAAGTACAAGTTTGGTACTCTCAGGGTATCTAAAGCGTTCACGAGTGTGTAAACCAAAAATGAGCCTGATCTGACTTGTAAGACGGCGGCCAGAGCCCAAAATGTGAGCAAGCCAACCATCGATAATTTTTACTTTGACCTGACCCGTGACGTCATCGGTAACCTCGAGGTCAATGAATGTAGGTTTCGGTCGACAGTTTTTCCGGGGCTATCAGACGCCGTTTGAATTTGGTGATCGGCCCACTAATTTCGCGGAGTTCAGAAGGGGCTATGAATAGACCCCCCCCCCTCCCCAGCTGTGCAGTAGGGCGCGTTATTCGCAGACCCCAGTGGGGCGCGGGTTAAACAGTTTTTGTTCGCGTTTGCAGCACTTCCTTTCACACGAAGAACGAGAAACTTTTTGTTCACACTCGAGTGAACCTGAACAAAACACTTCCTCCACTGGAGCAAAGACTTCCGATTCACACCTCCGACATTCACTCTCCGCCAAATGCCCAACGTAGCTACAATCGGCGGCTGGGATAAACCCTATGCAGTTCACGTAAAACTTCTGTATGCATGCGTGAATGGAGGTTTTGGCAGGGTGATCCGATTAAATGGAACGTTTTTCACCTTTTTCTGGGTGACCGTCATGAGCGACGAGCGTCTGCACAGGGGCCCTCGGCAGTGCGTCCGGCGTCGGCAATTGCAGCCACTGTAATTCTACCGGTCGTTTTTGTCCAGAAATTTCAAAATTTCAAATTTTTCTGTAAAAAATTACATGTCATAGGTAGAAGGAAAACTTTGTCACCATCACATTCCTCGCACCATTGCGCGTCGAATGATAGGTAAAACGAGTGAGTAACGACTAGGGAAAAGCAAGATTTAACACAACAGTTGATTTTGCCCCTCAACCGAAAATGTTTGGCGACGCCTATGTGTTTGCGAAAAACCTATGAACGCGAAAAAACCTATGAACACATAGGTTTTTCCCGCATATCTAAAAAAAAAACGGCGGCGATGAAAACACCTTAGTTGTGTTTGACTCGACGATACGGATCGACAGATATGCAACTTGACCCTTACCGGTCAGGTCATGACTTTGACCTGAGGTGAAATTTTTAATTTGACCTTTCAAGGTCAAGTTATAATCCATTCGATGCGTGTTGACGAGAGGAACACGATGCCGGTAAAAGTAACCTCGTGCAAGGCTTGGGTCAAAAGTTATTTTAGAAAAGCTTTCCAAAAAAACGTATTTTTGTAGTTTTTGCCCCATTTTCTAGGAGGCAAAACCGTTGACGTTAGATCAAATCTGAGGGAATTTCTCAGAAAGGGCGTTAATAGGGCTATCGAATGCGCTTTTCCGCGACGCTGTAGCTCTATTGGTTCCCGAGTTATGCGTTAGCTTCTTGGAAACTGCCGACAGGCGACCTGAAAATCGGCGAACTTTTGCCTTCATTGACCTCTGGTGACCTGACCTTTGACATGACCAAAAAAGTGACCGAAGGGATTTCGTCATTATTTTTGGCGCTCTTTCGAACGCCGCCTTCCGTGTATCGCTACGTGGCCCAGAAGCCGAGTTAGAGGGGGGGGGGGTTCAAACACCCCCCCCCCCCCCCAGCAGGGCGTGGAAATCCAGGACCCCCAGCGGGGCTTGGGTTAAGTGTTGCCAATATCTGCTTTATGAGAACGCCAGTTGGAAGTAACACGAAGCTGAAATAAAAGGCAATATGAACAGCATATAATGCTTTCAATTTATGGACAATAAGCCTGCCGACGCTTGCATAATGTCTGAACTCTATATCGTTTCCATTGCGGTTATGAGCTAATCAAATATGAAGGCATAATAATTTACAAAGTGCTCTGAAAAACACATTACTGTGCACAGCCTACAAAACACATAACAGCTGTACAAATGTAACTGATGGTGTTTGTTTTTTTGTTCCGTTTTGCAGCGGTCGTCAGGCGGTGGTCACGATGGGTCGGCGCGGCCGGCCGCCGTCAGCACCACTCCGGCCGCCTGTGCACGTGTATCGGGACAAGCTACAGTATGTGCTGCACAACGCGCTGCAACACGACCAGCTCCGCCCTGCTGGCTGCAGTATGGCTCATCCACCGGGTGGCACTGGCAGCAAAATTTCGGCGTTCGCTGAGAGTGAGGTGGTGGATGAGCCGGGTAGTAGACCGGCGCCGCCAACCCTTAGTCGGTGCAAACACCGGTATACACGAGTCATCGCGGCGCACGAGCGTCACGCAGCGCGGCGGGCAGCCGAGTCGCAGCGCGAGGTGCGCTCCCGGCTGTGGGCGCAGCTCCACCGGGCCGTGCAGCATGCCGCCACTTCCCAGGTGCGGCCACACCAGCTGGAGGCTTACCAAACGGCCTGTCGGCTGCTGCCGCGCGCGCCCCACCTCGTCTGCGAGCTGTCGCTGGCGCTGCACGCCAGCGCTGAGCCCCAGCTGGCCTCGCTGCGGTCGTCCCTGGAGCCGCTGCTGCGCCACATCGGCCTGGACCGTCCGGCCGCGCAGCTGGCGGCCTTCTCGGCGCTGGTGGCCGCCGGCCGGTCAGAGCAGGCGCGCCATATGGCGGCCGCCCCCCGCGACCGCGATCGGCGCCGACAAGTCATCGATGGCCGCCTGTGGAGCGTCGTCTGCGATTGGGCCCGGTGCGGCCGCGCGCCGTCTGACGAGGATCGGCGCCGTCACCTGGTGGCGCTGAGTGCCCACCTGCGGGCGCTGACCACCGGTGCCGGGCGGCGACCAGAGCTGGACCGACTGGTGGCCAGTGCAGCCGCAGAACTGCGCTAGTTTCACCGCTCGCCGCCGCAGCTGCCACTGTACATACCACCGGGCGACCGGTGCGTGCACTCGGTACAGGGAAGGCATGCCATTACCCTGGCCCTGTCGTGTCCCTGTCTCACAGCGCCGTATGTTTTTGTTTCTCGACGGAGCCGATAATGGCTCAAAGGCTTTGTAATCAGTCGATCGGAAATCATAGCACTGCGACGCGCGATGATCCGCTCTTTTCATTGGGCTTTCAAGCAGATTATTCGCCCAGTGTGACAGCAAAAAGCACCGACTTGTTTTGGCCGAAAACAAACTTTTTGCTGTTGCTGACAAAACTGGTAATGAATTTGTATATTGATGAGCCCATTCTGGCGTTTATAGCCTTGCCTTGGTGTGATGATCTCTGGGTGACAGATGTCATTGCCTTCGAGTTACGATTGTATCGTCAGTTTTGTAAGAAAAGGCTAATGTCAATGTCGGTCTCTACGTACGAAGTTAGGAGCAGAAACGTCTTTTTTATAAATGCAATTTGCGAAAATCCACATACGATGAAACGAACTAAGAAGGACCATAGCGTGTACAATGAAACGGCCGTGCTAAACATGTTTTAGCCTTTGCATACCAACGCAAAATGTTGGGTCTGGAGGAAGATTTGTATTTTTTTTCACGAAGTTACCTCCTTACCCTATCAGCGGACCGGGACCTGGACAATGGTCATAGTGAACCGGCTGCTGATTAAATCCGCTCACAGCTTAGCAATCGACTTAGACCCTTCCACCCATGCGCGTAACCACGAGTCTGAAGGTACTGGGGACCACATGGAAGGCCGCGTAGACCAAATACTATATTTCAGATGTGGGATGAGATACGTGGGGTGGGTGGAAAATTGTTAAGAATAAAATCTATATTGAAAAAGATCTTAACCCTCGCCCGCACTTGGGGCAGGGTGGTTGCCCCCCCCCCCCCCCAGGTAGTTTTTTCTGCTCTCCACTCAACATTTTTAAAGCTAGAAGCCTGATTTTTCGTACAGCTGCTTCTCTAGTGTTTTTGCCCGTTTCGCTGGCTAAAGCGCGTGCTTGGTTGAAAAAAGTACTTGGAGCCAAACACCTTTTAAAAAACTATAAAGGTAATTCGTTTTGTTTTTTAAGGACTGGCTCCAACCTCCAAGTATGTTTTTCGAACAAGCCAGTAGCGGCGGAACACCTTCAGTTAACCCGCGCCCTGGTGGGGTCTGTTTATAACGCGACCTGGGGGGGGGGGCTATTTTTTGCCCCCCTCGTATCTCCGAAACTACTGGACGGATCCGCAAAATTCAAACGGCGTTCGAAAGGCCTGTCAAATTTGTCGAAGGAAACCAAATTTCATTGACCTCGGGGTCACCGATGACGTCACAGGTCAGGTCAAAGATGAAATGTTTCACCGTTCACGGGTCTTCTAGGGAATGCGCTATAACACCGAGGAAAACGCATTTTGTCGAGAATCAGCGATAGGGCGTCAGTTGCCTCGTAGATATGTTGCTATTAGAGGTCACTGACAATACCAGGCCACGTCACAGGTCAGGTCACCAAGGGTCACAGGTCAGGTCACATGAGCTGAACTTTACTAAGGTTGTGTGATGCATGTTTTATGGCCAATTTTTCATTTCCAACTCAATGGTGTTGGTTATAAGACTATCAGGTATGGCTTAGGTCACTTTCTGGTGAAGTTCAGGTCAAGGTCAGGTCAAGGTCAGGCCAAAAAAGGTCAAATTTTAAAGTTGATAGTTTTGCATAAAATGGGTATTGATTCGATGCAGCTTGTCACGGGGAGTCTAATGGTGGTCTTTGTTTTGCGCTACGGGGTCTAGAATTGCTAAAAATTGAGTTTGAAAATTTGACGTCATCAATTTTGAACAGTTTTTTCGCTATAACTTCGCCAAAAAAGAGGTATCAATCTCAAATTTGGTATGTGGATGGAAGACGGTAAGGACTATTACATATATTCCGGTTTTTGCGAAATTCAAAAAACTTTCTGGATTTTTCGATCATTATATCCAAAAAAATTATTTTTTGATTTTTGGGGGTCAAAATCCAAAAAATTCAAAAATCCGAGATAGCAGTTTTGTAGCCCTGTCAATTCTACAGCTTTTATGTCTTTATCATTTTTCTGTATTTGCAAAGCTATAGGCCTGACAGCTCTTCCCGCGAAACCCTTTTTTAGGTCGAAAACGGCAGAACATGACGTCACTCTGACGTCATTTCCGGCCAACCTATCATAGCCTTTGGAAAATTTTTTGGTCACGATGTGTAAAATTGATGTCCTGGAGGGTACTGAAAGTTTGGTGACGATCGGCGCAGCGGTTCTGGAGATATATCGAAAAGTCTGGAGGGGGGGGGGGCAAAAAATAGCCCCCCCACCAGGTCGCGGGTTAAGGGGGGGGGGGGCACTGCCGACTTTTGGTCCCATTCTTTCCATGCAACGCCCATAGGGCTAATGTTAAAATGTCAAAATCAAAGGGGGCACGGTGCCCCGGTGCCCTCCCCGTTCCGCCGCCAATGGAACAAGCACGTGTTTTAGCGAGCAAAACGAGCAAAAAGTGAACTTGAGAAAATCGAATGTCGACTAGTTTTATATCATGTGATTTCTTCCCTTGGCCGAAATTCCATATCTCCGAAGAAAAGCATTGTTCGATGTTGTGAGTGCCCAAACCGGTATTTGCAGGCCATGGCCACCAATTTGGCTATCTCAACTCAAAACTAATGTTAAGGTGGGATGGTCACTTTAAATAGGTAGCTACTGACTCTCGAATCTGCTTAGAAAGTCATTTAGAGCGTATGTGATACTTGTAAGAAATACCTATCTTACGCACTCAGTTTATGCTTGGTGTTTTCTATGACTTTTGAAACGATCAAGAAATTGTCACTGCTCGCATGGGCGTCGCCACAGGGGGGATGGGGGGGACACCGTCCCCCCTGGAGTGAGGGTGGGGGGATTATCCCCTCCTCAAATTGAATGTCAATCAAAGTTTTCGAGCTGCTTTTTCTCAGTTACCTGTCATTCTGCGGAAAAAAAGAAGTAATCCTTTACCGGACAAGTTTTTCACTACATTTGGCAGCAACTCAGTAATTCCTGTAGCAGAAAACAGTGAACAACTTATGGCGCAGCCGCACCATACGTGGCGCACGTGGGTGGCTCTGAGCGCTGTTCGGCAGCCGGCTATTTTGTGTGCAGGGTATGACGCATTCCGCGAGCCGACGTCACGGGCGACAGCGCCAACGACAAACTAACGGAAACCCTCGGACACCCTCGGGGCATAAACCGCGGAGTAGCATATTGAGCGAGTCTTATAAAGGAAATTCATATATTTTCGTTTCTCAAATGATAATCAGGGTGTCTCTTACCTTTTTACGTATCATTTAGGCTTACCTAACACTTCAGTTGCCAAATATCTGCAATTTATTCAAACGAAGGTGTTTTCAGTTAATATCAATTATATAGACCGAAATCTTTTGAATAAAAACTCCAACCCATAGAAATAAAAATAAATAATTTTATTCCAACCATTCCCTCCAAATAAACAACATAAAAACTCACTTTTACACACATCATTCATAATAAAGCATACTAACACGCCGCTTTTGACAATGGCGGCGTCGAGTGGCGCGCTGCTAGCGCTCTTTTTCGATCGCAGAGACCCTGCACGCGCGCGAGCACACTACGTCACGTCCAGGGGGCACAGGTATATGAAAAATCGCAGTGACGTAACACTTTTCTCGCTTCTCATTGGTCAATAGCCCGTTGCCGGGGTAACGTGCACGTATGTGAGCGCGGGCAAGAGTACTAGCCGGCCGCCGATCAGGGCTCTGAATTCAGGTTGATGCAATCTTATATAGGGCTTCGGCTTGATCTCTATAGCGTCGTGTTGTTTGTTTGCTAACTTTATGTAGGGGAGAACGGGGCGATTTGGCCGCTCTTTTGTAAAAACGATATTTTGAGAAAACCAGTGCGCGTTTGGTCGATTTCTCCATGGAGGGGTGTGAGGCGTTCAATTGTTGTTCCGGCCTATTCCTTGCATCATGCCGGGACATCTCGTTTCGGTAGTAATTAAACGTTTTTTTTTTTCAAAGACTGCACGGCGGCCAAATGACCCCGGTACCGGGGTCATTTGGCCGGGGGAGTGGGGTCATTTGGCCGGGCATGTGATTCAGAGATATACCCATTACAGAGCTGAGACAACCTGAAATATTGACGCCCAAGATTGTGCTTAACTCATGAATTCTGGATTGACTCGACGCATGACTGATGTGACGATCCAGATGCCCCAATGCTGACACAAATGATGAGCATCGTGACTCATCTTTGATTCGCCTAAAATCCTTAATTTTTCAAAAGACTAGGCTTACACTCGAATCATTTGAATCAGTGCAAGTGAGGAGCCACATTTGATTTACGAGCTTACGACTTATGAGTTGAGCAGTAAGTGCCCAGTGATAACAACAGCCAACCGTAATGGCTGCCAAATCGTAGATTGCTTTAGACGACAATCGCCCTGCAAAAAAAGTCCTTTGTGCACGAGTTGTTTTTTTTCAAATTGTGTCGTAAACATAAAATCAAAACGATTCCAGTCTTCGACCCAGCACTTCAACACATCCACTGTAAAAGACGGTCCCGACGGCATGGACACCTGTCCAGTCATCACTGCGCTTCACTGTTTTTCACTTTTGCTGTTTCTTCGACGGTCCAGCTGCCGACGTTCGATGGTTCGACCAGGGTGGTTCGACGGTCCAGCTTGTGGACCCCGCTTTTTGCTCCTCGCCATGTGCCTGTTGCTCGTCCTCCAAAGCCGTCCGCTCCGAGCTGCTAGTCAAGATTTTAGAACGCCCTTTCTTCCGACCGGCTTTTCGAACGTTGATGCGCAGCTGCGGTCCGGAAGTGGTCGGATGGACTCTGGGCTTCCGACAAGCGGCAGGCAACTGGAGCACGGCCGCGGCAGGCAGCTGGAGCACGGCCGCGGCAGGCAGCTGGAGCACGGCCGCGGCAGGCAGCTGGAGCACGGCCGCGGCAGGCAGCTGGAGCACGGCCGCGGCAGGCAGCTGGAGCACGGCCGAGGCTGGCGGCTGGAGCACGGCTGGGGCTGGCGACTGGAGCACGGCCGAGGCCGCGGCGTGCTGATCTGCCGTCTCTGGGGCGACGACCGGTACGAAGACCGCCGTCCGCGCAAACTCTTCGTCGTCGAAGGTATCCCGGTTGAGCGGCGATATCCCGGCCGTTTCGAATCCTTAATTAAGGATGTTCTTCCGCGTGAAGCTGTGGCGTCTTAAGGCCGGTTCTCACTGAGCGTAGAGCAAACGTAACGTCAGGCAAACGTAGACGAACCGTAGGGAAACGTAGGCGAAACGGAATGTGTATGGAAGTTGAGCAAGCTTGAAGGGAGCCTTCATATGGTAGCAACGTTAATACTGAAATCCCCTGAGATGGCTGCAATTAGGTTTTTTCTTGTAGTTAAATGCTGCAAAACGTCGAGGGAACGTGAAAAAGTTGAGCAGTGTTTAACTTTTCAAAT